CGTGGTAGCTTTGCTTCAGCTTGTGCGTCCACGGTGCCAGCGCAGAGTGACGTGACGTTTGCCACTGTCACCCACCCGTCAGTTTTTGAACTCGTACATGACAAAACGTGTGTAACGTTTTGCGCCAAAGAAACGACATCCATTCGAAACAATCATGAGAAGATTTAACTCTGGCTCCAGACGTGTCAAAAATGACAAATGTCATACTGTGTTTAAGTGAACGAAGACCGATGACATTTGGCAATGTCCTGCTGTTGACCGTCAGAATCAATGCTTTCCCAGTTAAACATTTTCATAAGCGGCGATGATGCCGTTGTAATGTCTGTAAAGTATACCATGGAGAGGAAATTTTCGGTATGTAGGAGCTGAATTTTAATTATACATAAAAATGAAACCCGATCTTGTGGGTTTACCAGCATGATGATAGTTATCGGGTTAAAGCGGCAAATGGCACCGCCCCGTTGCTTCTAGTCGCCTAGGGGACGATTTAAGCAGGCAACCTTTCCATGGTATTTGAGCACCTGCAGTGTATGAGCTTTTTATGTATAAATATGTTTACAGATCGTGGCATATCTGCAGGTGTCCGAACAGGCCTTTGTTCGGCCCTGCCTGGCGATGCGGTTCTGCATCCATGCATTTTGAACGCTTTGAGTTGAACTGATTCATACCTACTGAAGATTCGCTGCCGTGGATTCGGACTAATGGGTCGGAAGCAGTAGAGCATAGTCACGTGACTGTTTGACTCATTTGGCTAAATCGTCTGTGACCAGATCTCACGACGTACTGCACCGCCCCATTGCTCCTAGTTATTTAGCGGCGCCATTTATGCGGGCCATGACTATATGGTGTTTGAGCACCTGCAGTGCCAGGTGCATCTCGCGTCACGTGGTCGCTAGAGCACCTCGCAGTCTTAACGAACGATGCTTCAGGGACTGGTACTCCTCATATGCTGTCATATAAACATCAAAGCATGTTCGTACGCCGGAGTGGTAAACGACAGGTTGCCCTTGCAACAGCAGATTTAGGGCTTGCTGCACAAATGCTTTGTTCTTAATTGTCGACGAGCTACAACTGCACGGTAGCTGAGGTAGCTGAATCTTGCATCCTCTTATTTGCATCATATTGTTTCGGGAGCTGACTCGCTTTGCATGCTACCGCTAAACATTAAAATATGCGTTAGTAGATCGGAGTTATTGTTTGTGAGTAAACACCAAGTTTCCTCACTTTTGAGGAGTGAAATACCCGGAAGCCGGGATCTCGCTTTGCGATACATTTCTTTTCGTAACGAAGAGGTTTTTTTCGGCTTTTTTTCATGGCCAATTGAATGGCGTGTTGTAGCCGCGTTGGCCCGTTCGAACTGGTCTCCATCCGCCATTGAAGTCGCTTTCACCACTCTACCGTTGCAGGGCTTCGTTGCTCTACTCGAGTCGCATGTTCCACCACGCCACGATCACTGCGATCACTACGGGTGTCAGGATCGATGGCTGTTTAGCGCGATGCATTCATTTCAATCAGCTGGTAAACGTTACTTTACTGACTTCACACCGATTTACACTCGTAACAGATGTTTCTTCTAGAGTATTTTTTTACCGACGGACAGCGTCGATTTGTTTGCGCTCGAACGAGCTGGTGGTGTTTTTCTGCAGGCGTTTTAGCTCCACTTTAAACCTTACATCATCTGAGATCGGTTTTCGACATTGGCGCTGACCGTGTGCCCGTTCGTCGCCGTGTTGCACTTATTTCGGTTCGTGCACATGCCTGTCGTGAGGTACCGGTCGACGGAACGTGTCACTTATCTGGTTTTGCACCGCGTCACTCAGTGACGCTGCGGCACTCGCAGCGCATGGATCAAAACCGCATCGCCGCGCTCGCCGGGACAACGACCTCAAAGCGGCAGCAGTTTCTGAAATGAACTTCCAGGGGGAACCTAGGCATTGGTTTCAACCGTAATGTACAAATGTTGGTTGTATTTACATAAAAATGTCCATTCTCGCAATCAACGAATGCCCGGAGTAAGATTCGCATGAAGAGACATGCCACTTCACCTGTGGGTTAGGTCAGGTGTGAGGCATCTGTCCACATTTGGAAAACGAACTTCGATCTGGTACCGAGGTCGTGTCTGTTGCTATGAGCCTTTCCGGCGGTATTAGCGTTACGCTGTAACATTGTTGTGAAGTGTTTTAAACAAGATTCATCGTCGTTACGTCCGCTATAAGCGGTTCATCACTTAATATCGAGTTTGTCTGCACATTTGCCATTTTTGATGTCATTGATTACTCACTTCCTCGCATGTGGTTTCACGAGCGGCTTTCGGGACAGCTTTCGATTTACGCCTACTTTGCAAGAGTTGAGGTCGTAGAACTTTGCGGATCGCGTTCATCCGGTTGCGATTAATAGTTCTTGCTATTCCTTTCAGCGTACTCGGATTTCTTTGTTTAAGGCGAATGCCTCGTTCCACCACTTGTAACCTTTCTTTCCCTCCGTAGCTTCTGCTAGTCCGATTCTCCTGTAGTTTTCCTAGTCTTCCCTCAACTTCTTTCATATGTATTTGCACAATGCGGTGTGCACTTTATTTATTGTAGCTGTAAACTTGGATTTTTTATTGTTTTTTTTAAATTTCTGATATGCTTATTTATTGTTTTTGTGTCCAATAGAGCTGCAGAATTGCAATGCAAAGTGACAGTAATAATACTAATATCACAACTCATTACAAAGAATACAGCCTTGCTTTTTACTATGAACCCAACGCTGCCGGTATGAGCTCGGTTGTCGAAGGCGTTTCCGAGGAGCACTCGGTCTCCGTTGTTCCATTGCGCAGCAGGTTTTCTAGATCTCAGGGTCTCGCATATTCGAATGACGTCTGCCTGTATCTTTTCCGTTCCGTTTCCGTGATACAGACGTCGATAAATACGTCTGTCGAAGGCGTTCTCGCATTTTGACTGTCTACGACGATTTTGGTGACGTTCCGGGTTCATTGACCATTCGCGCCCTGTGGTTTACCGATCCGTAGCTGATGTTCAGGCCGACGCCATCGCCTGCACCTATTTTCTCAGTTTTTTAGCGAGTAATTGCTTGGCAGTTCATTCGCGTTGCCAACCCTCGTAAATTATAGCCACCGTTTCCTCAGTTTTCATTGCTCAAGAGGTTCAA